GCAAGAGAATCTTCCTCTGTCCTCTCCCTGGGATGCGAGGACACACGTCTCACACCACACTCAGACACTGCCTACCCTGCCCACTGCACTATCACCCCTCAACTTACCAACTTCTCCAATTACACATTTTCTTCTAGAATATTTATTTTTTCTCTCTGTTGTCACCCTTAGTGAATTTTTTTCCATAAAAACAAATAAGAAACCACATCTGACTTCCAATGCTGTGCCACCATGCCTGGTGTTTACTCTTGTTTGTGAAGGAGAGAAGGTGAGAGGGATGGGACTTTCAGGACGGACTCCCTCATGAGGCAGTAGCTTTCCTCAGATTCTTCTGGGTGTGATTCCTGTCTTCTTTCCTCATGGCTTATTTGAGGAACACAGTTAAGTGTGTTAAAGTAGTGACACACTTACTTCAGGACCAGCGGTCATTGAAGCCGAGTGCACAGAGGAGGGGCTGCTTCTCCTGAGACCCTCCTCAAACTCCACTCCTTGGAAGCCAGTAGGATCACCCCTCTTCTGGCTCCCACCACATACTGTACCCAGTCTTCTTCCTGGCCTCACTAAACCCTCATAAAAGTGAGCTGTGTGCCTGGCTGTGAGCGCCAGGAAGACAGGGACTAAGTCTCAATTTAGCTCTCTCTGGGAAGCAGAACTGTAGTTGAGAGTGGACTCTGGAACCACACGGCCTGGGTTTGAATCCTGGCTCCATCACTTTCCAGCTGTGTGACCTTGGGCAGGTGCTTTCACCTATCTGTGCCCCAGTTTTCTCTTTTGTAAAATGGGGACAATAATAGCATCAACCTCCTAGGGTCACTGCGGGGCTTAAAGGAATTGGTACCTGTAAAGCACTTAGCCTGGCACACAGTAGGCATTCAATCAGTGTCAGCTCTGATCAGAATTATTCCCAGTGCCCAGTACAGAGCCTGGCACACACAGGCTCAGTCCTTATCTGTGCTTTCAACAAATACTAAAAATATGGAAGAACTAGCCAGTTTCAACACTGAAAACAAACTGGATGAATCTCAAGGAGGCTGATGAAGTGACTAGGTGATAAGGTTTGAACGTCACCACGACCAAAGACCAACAGCTCAGGCCTTAGCGTTTCTAATTCATCAGGGAGGTAGACAGTTTGCAATTCAGTAATAAAGACCAGATCAGAAAGTAGAGGGAGTGTGCAGTAAGGATTGCTATGTCTCATCTGGTGTGCGCCTCCTTGGGTTCCAAAGACTAGAGTCAAGCCTCCCTTCAGATTCAGAGTACAGAGCGCAAGGTCATGATTCAGTTTAAGGTTCCAGGCACCAAGGCCGAGCTCATGCAGGGACTGGCTTTGCCTTAAATGGAATTTTGAAACTTACTTTGAAATGTAACCCTGGGCTACCTACTTAGCCTCCTGATCCTTAATTTCCTTCCCTGTAAGTGGGGATAATAGTACCTACTTCAAACAGCTGATCTGCAGATCACATACCATGGTACAAATGGTTAATGCACTTAGCTGTTAACCCAAAGGCTAGAGGTTCGAGTTCACCCAGAGGCACCTCGGAAGAAAGGCTTACTTCTGAAAAATCAGCCACTGAAAACCCTATGGAGCACAGTTCTACTCTGACACACACGGGGTCCCCACGAGTCAAAACTGACTTGATAGAGACTTTAATGATTCTCAATCTACACAAAACGCCTAGTAGAGCAACTAGAATAACTCAGAAATACTACTAGCTGCACATAAACTGGCCCATCTGAAATGGCTGAATTTTGGGTCACAGAGCAGTGGTTCTCAACTGGGGGTAACTGTGTCCCCCAGGGGACACTGGGCAATGTATGGGGACATTTTTAGTTGTCACAACTCAGGGAGTGCTACTGGCATCTAGTGGGTAGAGGCCAGAGATGCTGCTAAACACCTCACAATGCACAGGGCACTTCCCCACAACAGAGAACTATTGAGCTGCAAATGTCAAGAGTGCGGAAGTAAGAAACCCCAGCCTCGACCTCTCAGCTCAGATTCAGTTTAACCTTCAACATATCAAAGACTTATTTTTTTCAGTTGTGTGGGCAAAGAGCTTCGTGGGTTGTTACTGGATAAAGAGAAGAAGATGATGAGTGCACCGAAGAATTCCACCCAATTGCCCACGTGGCATTGCTCGGTGACTAAGACTCTTAAACTTCCAGTAAAGGTTAACTTTCTAGGAAGTTTTGAGAAATGCAGCTTTTCATGTTGATTTCCTGGGTGAATTTCCATGACTAATCACCCCACTTCGAATTCAGGAAGAAACCCAGCAGCACAGACAGCTTCCGCCTCTACTACATGCCACCAACCCATCAATCTCTGTAAGAGGAAGACAGTTGAGCCCTCAAACACAGACAAAGCACTCATGACTGTGAAAGTCCCAGGTCTGCAAAATGGGAACAACCCCCATATCTCCCTCTTAGGGGGCTGAGAAGGATAAATGCTGATCCAAGCCCTTAGCACCCTGCCTGGCACACAGTAAATGCTCAACAAATGGTGGCTTTATCATTATAAGGCTTCATAATATTCGATTCTATCTGCTGAGGTGCTGCCCTAAGGAGCCCTGGTGGTGCAGTGGTTAAGCACTCTGCTACTAACCGAAAGGTCAACGGTTTGAACCCAACAGCCACTCTGTGGGAGATAGATGTGGCAGTCCGCTTCTGTAAAGATTACAGCCTTGGAAACCCTATGGGGCAGTTCTACTCTGTTGCTATGAGTTGGAATTGACTCGACTGCAATGGGTTTTGGTTTGAGGTGCTGCCCTACTCTCCAGCAACTTGAACCTCAGGCCACTGTGCAAACTCAACCCCTCCCTCCAAGGGAGTCCAGAAGGATCAGATACTATTCTTCCCTTACTTTTGGTTTAAAAAAAAGTGATCCAATCACTCTGTAATAAGATATGTGACAAATCCTTAGATTGCAAAGCCCCTGAATATGTGAGCTGTGGTGTGAACAAGCCGAAAACGCCAAGACTGGGAGTCTGAAGACCAAGCAATGTTCCTAGACCAGCTCCACCACTTACCTGAGGGCAAGCCACTCAGCCTCAGCTGCTAAACAGGCACCTTACCGAATGCGTTGCTTGCCACGCAGGGGCTGAACCAATCACCCCTTGAGGTTCCATTCAGCTCTAAGATACGGAAAGTTAAAATGTTTTGTTTGGATAGAGTAGGTCCAACCATACGCTCTGGGGATGTACCTTAGAGAAGGTCCAATATCCTGCCCACTTCTCCAACCGTAATGTGCACGTAAGTCACCTAGGATCCTGTTAACAGGCAGCTCCCAAGTCAGCAGGTCTGCATCAGATTTTGCATTTCTAACAAGCTCCCAGGGGATGCCAGTGCTGCTGGTTCATGGACTACACTTTCAGTAGCAAAGGCTTGCTCTTGTTATTGCTGTTAGGTGCCCTTGAGTCGATTTTCGACTCAGAGAAACCCCATGTGACAGAGTAGAACTGCCCCATAGGGTTTTCTATGCTATAATCTTTTGGGAGCAGATTGCCAGGTCTTTCTCATGTGGGCTCGAACCGACAACCTTTCAGTTTGCAGCTGAGTGCTTAACCACTGTGCCACCAGGGCTCCTTAGCAAGGGCTTACAGGTCGTATTTTTTTAAATAATGAAGAAAATGTATTAGTCTTATAAGAAGTTCCTGTAAAGATTACAGCCTAGAAAACCCTATGGGTGGGGGAAGGGTTGGTTACAAGTTGACCCACGTGCTCTGCTACCCTTGCAGACACTGACCTGAACATTTATTGGCAAGCGAGTGTGAGAAAGCAGTTCACGTGACCTGCTGAGGAAGTCCCGGCCTCCTACTCTTTTAGAGTTTCTGACCACCACCTTGTATGAAAGAGTCACTGATGGCAAATGCCAAGAGTCCTGAGACAGGACCCGACACTCTTGCAGGTGGCATTGGGCAACCAGGATTCCAGAGTTCAGACGCCACTACTGACTCCTCTTCTTCCCTGTATCTGGTCTCAGCAACTCTGCTGTCTCGTCCCTCAGAAGGACTCCTGCGTCATACCCTCACCCCCAGTCTCTCTGCTGCCTTCACCGAGGCCTGTGTTTTCTCACTCCTAGCTGATGGTGAGGAGCACTGGTGGCGCAGTGGTTAAGAGCTCAGCTGCTAACCAAAAGGCTGCCAGGTGGAACCGACCCAGCGGCTCTGTGGGAGAAAGACCTGGCGATCTGCTTCTGTAAAGATTATAGCCTAGAAAACCTAACGGAGCAGTTCTACCCTGTCACACGGGGTCGCTAGGAGTCACAAATCAACTCGACAGCACCTAACAACAAGCTGATGGTGCCGCCTGCTAAAGCCTGCCCAGGTGAATCCCATCCTGCTCACCTCCTGCTCAGCTGACAGCCGCCTCCCTGGCCCAGGGCCCTGCCTGCTGTGCTCCTGCCCCACTGGCCTTCCTTCTGTGTGCTCCTTCCCACCTTACGCTTCTGCACGTGCCGTTCTCTCTCTTAAAACTCTACTCTTCCTCCTCTTCTCAGCCCTCCACCCCGCTATCAGCCAGGGTTCCGACGGGGAGTTGGGTGAAATTTCTCTTATTACATGGTTTGGAGATTGTTCGGGATTCCATTTTCAATTTTGTGTTCTCTCTTCCTGCTTCCCATCACATTAACATCAGAGGGCTTTGTGACCAAACCTCTCACGAGTTTAGGAACAATCAGAAGTCTCATGCACAATAATAGGGAAGCCCAGGCAGAGGAGGTGGAAGAAGTTGGAAGGAGGGTGCTCAGGAGGCAGATCGTGTAGTGGTTGAATGGAAAACACCCCGGGATGGTGCAGCGAGTGGGATGGTGGCCCCTCCAAAAGATGTGTCCTGGAACCTGTGACTGAGACCTTACTTGGAAAAAGGGTCTTGGCAGATGTAATTAAGTTAAGGATCTTGAGATGAGGTCATTCTGGATTATACGGGTGGCGGCACCTATCCCTGCTTCACTGGCTAGGGATGAAGGAGGGTGCCCATAATTTACAAAGCTTAGAAAATCAACTTACCATCCTTGAGTGAGAAGGTCAGAAGGTCCTGGGGGGAAAAGGCAAGATGAATCAGCAATAAGTTGATATGCTACCAGCCTGCTCACTCAACGAATATTTATTGACTTCTCCTTAGTGGGAGAACAAGACAGACAAAAATCTCTGCCCTATACTCTAGAGGTAGGACAGATAACAAGCAAGTGAGCAAATAAATAAAAATGTGAGAGTTTCAGGTAGTGAAATAAAGGCAGGAAAGGAGGTAGAAGGTGATGGAGGGGAAGGGGCTATTTTAAATCTATATGCATTTGCCCCCCAGCAGCCAACGTCACAAGTTTCTGCCTGCTTTAACCACACACAGGGCAGGTGAGTGACTTGCCCAAGGGCACACAGTAAAGCTGATGCTTCCCAGAAAGGCGCCACAGTTTAGCGGTTAGAAGCACGGGCTCTGGAGTCAGGCTGCTTGGGTTCAAAACTTGGCTGAGCCACTTATCAGCTGTGTGACCTTGGGCAAGTTACTTAACCTCTCTGTGTCCAGTCTTCCCATCTATAAAACAGGATGATCATACTGCCTACACCTCATAAAGCTGCTGAGAATTAAATGAGTTAGTATTTGGAAAGGCACTAGCACATAATAAGGACTCTATAAATATTAAATTAAATAAATAGTTAACATTCAATAATAATTCAAGATTAGCTATTATCATCATCATAAAACTGTATTGTGATGAAATATCTTTCAGGCCACCCCATCCTACTGGAAGGAATTTTCAGATTGATTTTTGAAAGGAAATAATTTGTTCTACTTGCCTACCCGCATCCTCAACTCCCCACTCCACAGGCCCCCATTCTGTAGCTGCCACCCAACCCAGGTTTTGTACATACCTGAGTGATGACCAATGGGTCATTCTTTAAGATGGGGTCCTTCAACAGAATCTGAACAAACACGTCTGCTCCTTCGCCTCCCAGGCCGCTGGCAAAAGCAGTCATGGTTGGCAAGACAGTTTCAGACAACTCCAGCCACTTCACCAGGCCCATCACAAACTCTGTGCAGAAGGAGCTGAAAGACAACCACAGCTCAGATCATAAGGCTTCGTGGAATGTGCTCCTCACACGGCTGTGGGGAGTTTAGGTCAGACATGTTCACGTATGTGAATAGGGGCAGTGGTGGTTCAGTGGTCGAATTCTCGCCTTCCACATCGGCGACCTAGGTTTGATTCCCGCCAATGCACCTCATAACAGCCACCACCTGCCTGTCAGTGGACATGCTGCTATGATACTATGGTGCTGAACAGGTTTCAGTGGAGCTTCCAGACTAGGACAGACTAGAAAGAGAGGCCTAGCATGCTACTTTTGAAAATCAGCCACTGAAAACCTACGGATCACAATGATTCAATCTACAACCAATCATGAGGATGGTGCAGGGGGGGCAGCATTTCATACCACTGTGTATGGGGTCACTATGAGTCTGGGGGCCTACTCTACAGCTGCTAACAACAACATATATATGAACGGCTGTACACAGTAGGTGATCAATCAATAAATGGAAGCTGAAAACTTGATGAGTGTGATTCATGAAATGGAGAGATAATAAAAAACCTAATTTTAGAGGATGGATTTTAGTTTCTTCCCCTGAAAACTTCTACCCAAGAGGCTGATAAACCACAAGACTGAGGGCAAAGGGGAGTTGCTGACACCTGCCCCGGGCCTGGCCTGTGCACGGGGGGTGAGGAATCACAGACCAACAAGATGTGGTCTCTGACAAAGATGCTCACGGCCAGGTGCAGACACACAGGTAATAAACGAGCCCAGTCAGTACCTCGTGTTACACTAGACAGAGTAGGAATTAAGTCCTAAAGATCCCAAAAAGGGAGTCCCCAAATCTACCTGTATAGGTGAGAGGAAGCAACTAGAAAAGGCTTCCCAGAGAAGGTGACTCACTGCTGTTTTAACTCACCAAGCACATGCTTGTTAGAAAAAGTCAGCCACTGCAGAAGTGGGTAAAGAAAAAGTCTGCCTCCCCATCATATCCACTCCCCGGAACCACCTTGTACACCATCGGGTCTCTGTCCACAGAAGATATTTGAGTTGAGTCCTACAGGAGGCACCGGAGTGCCTGGGTGGAGGATGGGATGGGGTCACCCCAGGGGAGAAGGAAGCGCGTGAGCTGAGACACAGATGCAGGGGAACATGTGGCATTAGGGGGCTGTGGCAAAGTCCCCACCAGATTTCTGATTTAGAGCTACCACGCTGTGGCAGCAAGAGGGGCGAGCTGAAGGCGGAGGCGGGGTGGTGGTGTATGAAGCAGGGGAGCCAGGTAGAAGGCAATCATACCAGCCCAGGGTAAAGGTTGGGACCTAGAAGCCAGATCTATCTCCAAATCCAGTGGTCCATCCTGCCTCAAACCACACTCCTCTGGGACTCTCGGTGCCAGGTTCTGCACCATTTAGGGACCCTAACCAGGTCAGGGTGGAATCAGGCCACCCCAGAAACAGGCAGAGCTCCCTGGTGGTGGAGGCGACCTCAGGAGACTGGCCCCTGGCCCACTCAGCCCTGGCTCCACAGACCCTAGCCAGCCCACATATGCCGTTTCTTAGAGCCTGCTGCTGCTGAAGCCCGAGAGGAAAGACCTCTGCAGACAGGGCCCTGACAGGAGTGCTGAAGAGCTCAGGTTCAAATCTGGGTTCCCCAGGAAGTGGCTATGAGATAAAGATTACTAGGCAAGAGGATTTTTTTTTAATTGTTGTAAAAATACATGGACTCCAACGCTTATTAAACATATTAACATGGTAACTTTAAAATATATATTTAGATGGGCAGGGGGGCTTTATGGCATGCCCTTGGGGTCAGCACCTGTGGGAGGGAGGGAAGGAGGCCAACTGGGCAGAGGGAGCAGCTGAGCTGTGGTGCAGTCTCCATGGAAGCCTCAGGCTGACTGAGGGGAGTTCTCAAGATGGGATGAAACTTCAGAGCTGTCCCAAGTGGGGCAAGAGGACCAGGCCTTTAAATCCCCACATCAACCAGTTACTGGATGTGGGCAGCACCATGGAAGGGCAGACCTTGGGCAAGTCGGCTCTGTCCAGCTGAGGCAGGGCCCAAAGGGGGCTGAGAGCGCAGGGCTGTGCCGGCAGCACTTCAGCAGCTGGCGTATAAGTCCTTCATTCCTGAAGGGGGATATGAGTGATGCGGCTCCTTGGGAAAGTAACTTGACCTCTCTGTGTCTGAGCTGCTGTTATGGACTGAATTGTGTGCCCCAAAAGTATGTGTTGTAAATCCTAACCCTATATCTGTGGTTATAATCCCATTTGAACGAACAAATCTGTCTTTGAAGCAGCACAACCAGAATGCTCTTAGAAGGAAGGATGGCGCATCAACTGGTCCCAACCACTTGGAGTAAAGGAGAATGAAGAACACCAAAGACACAAGGAAAGTACTGGCCCAAGAGACAGAATGGGCCACATAAACCAGAG